TAGCAAAAGGTTTCATGCAGAGGGAAGGAATAGATTACTCAGAGGTGTTTGCTCCCGTAGCTAGATTGGAAACTGTGAGGTTGATTGTTGCTTTGGCTAGCTGGAGGAATTGGAAGTTATGGCAGCTGGATGTTAAGTCAGCATTTCTCAATGGACCACTTGATGAAGACGTGTTCATTGTGCAACCTCCTGGCTTCATAAGTAAAGGGAATGAACAGAAGGTTCTGAAGTTAAGGAAGGCCCTATATGGCCTAAAACAGGCACCTAGAGCGTGGAATAAAAGGGTTGACACTTTCCTCCATAGTGTTGGTTTTCAGAAATGCTCTGTTGAGCATGGAGTTTATGTTAAGATGGTGAGTTCCACTAAAATTCTTATTATTTGCCTATATGTGGATGACTTACTGATTACTGGTAATAGTTCTGCTGACATTGAGTCACTCAAGCAAAGTTTGAAGAAGGAATTTGAAATGACAGACTTGGGAATCCTATCATATTTTTTGGGATTAGAGTTTGCTTATACTGAGAAGGGAATCTTTATGCATCAGAAGAAGTATATTTCAGAGGTACTAAAGAGGTTCAATATGATGGGGTGTAATCCTGCAGAAACTCCGGCAGAGATCAATGGGAAACTTACAAGAAGTGAGAATGAGGCTTCAGTTGATGGAACCCTGTTCAGGCAGATTGTTGGTAGCCTGAGGTTCATTTGTCATAGTAGACCAGAAATTGCTTTTAGTGTTGGGCTTGTAAGTAGGTTCATGAATGACCCTAGACAACCACATTTGGTAGCTGCCAAGAGAATCTTGAGATATCTAAAAGGAACTTTGGGATATGGAATTATGTTCTCTCATCAAACCAAGGAAGATGATGGTCTGCGTCTTGTGGCTTATTCTGATTCCGACTGGTGTGGTGATTTGGTTGATAGAAGAAGCACTATGGGACAAGTCTTCCTATTTTCTGGTTCTCCTATATCTTGGAGCTCAAAGAAGCAAACAGTGGTGGTACTATCAACTTGTGAAGCAGAATACATTGCAGCATGTTCAGCTGCGTGTCAAGCACTATGGTTGTCTTCCTTGCTCAGTGAATTAAAGGTGTCGGTTGATAGTGGTGTTGAATTGCTTGTGGATAGTAAATCAGCTATAGACTTGGCCAAGAATCCAGTATCTCACGGCAGAAGCAAGCATATAGATACCAAGTATCATTTTCTCAGGGATCAGGTAAGCAAGGGTAGAATTAAATTGAAGCATTGCAGAACAGAAGTGCAACTAGCGGACATAATGACTAAGTCATTGAAGATCGAAAGGTTTAGGGAGTTGAGAGAATCTTTGGGTGTATTTTGTTTGTAAGCTTTTGAATCAAAGGGGGGTGTTAAGAAATCTGATTCAAATTCTCCATTTACTGTATAAATAGTAACTGACTCTGTTTGTACGTTGATATAATTACTGCTGCTATTCAGTGTATAATAGAATCATTTTTTACTTTACGTTTTTCTCGGGTATTCTCTCTCTCGTGTGTGGGTAAGTGGCTTTGCTCTAACAGTTTTCACGGAGAGTAATGCTAGGTCATTATGAAATAATATAAATTATTCAACAGAACCTGGTAACATATTTCTCTCACTTCATGTGAAAATATAGACATAATATATATTGTTTCACTCTAAATACTTGCTAATTTAAATATCGATGTTCTTTTTTAGATATAATCCACTTGATCTTTGAAAGTTGAGGATCGAACACTATTCATCAAAAACTTCTTACATCAAGTTTTAAGGAAGAACAATTACTAATTGTTCTTACACGAATCAGGTTGGATTTCCAACTCGGGTAAGTCGTCTTTCCTGTTCTGGTCTAGCCGAGATTGTATGAGGTCGGTTGCTGTGGTGAGTCTCCTCTTTCTAGTCTTCCTTCTCGAACGTCTTGGATATACCTGCAAAAAGGACTCCAACGATCAAGTTAGTCTTTCCTTCATTGTCTATTCTCATACTTATCATTTACTTGGGTTGTGCAATTTTCCGATATAACTGCTATAACGATTGTCCGAGGTGAGTTAACTACAGTTAGGTTGGTTATTATTGTCACGTGTTATATATATTTGATGTTGTTTATATATTGAGATATCGGTCTTATTGACCTCGAGGTTTAAGTCAACTTATATATATAATCGATATATTACACTATGATCTCGGTCCTACTTCGGGAGTAATATACTAATCAAACACCTTATAGTTGACTTTATCAAATTATTTTAATATTTAAAAATATTAAAAAGATAAAAGTATACGATAAACAACTTGTTAAAGAAAAGTGTGATTATAAATAAACTGAATGCATTATTTTTTAAAATAAATTCAATTGATAAATATTAGGCTTAATTTTTTTTTCTTTTCAAGTATAATAATTATATAATTTTAATCTCTTAATTTTAGTTAAATAATTTTAGTTTTTATAATATTATAATCGTATATTTTAATCTTTTAAATATCATAATTATATAAGTTTTTACTTATTTAAGTTATATATATTAAAAATTTTAGTAAAAAAAAATATCACTTAATATATGAATAAAAATTATAATATATAAACTTTAAATAGGTCAAAATTGTATAATCATAATATTATTGAAGAATTAAAATTATACAATTATAATATTTAAGGGATTAAAATTATTTAATTAAAATCTTATAAATCAAAATCACATAATTATAATATAAAAAAATAAAAAAATTAAATTAAATATAAATTTATTAAAATATTTTTATCAAATTATATTTGATGCCCTTAATTATATTTAAATCTTAGATTTGATAAAAATATAATAATTTTAATATAATCAAAATTTTGAGAGATTAATTTTCAACGAAAATAATAGATACTTCTATTAATATATGATTAAAAAAATTATCCAAGCAAATTGATATTATTAAAATTCGGAAATTTAAAGTTGAGATTCTTTTAATAATACTTTTATAATTTAATCACCAAGCTTTTGATTTATGAAGTTCTACTACTGCTGATTGTCATTGAGAATATAACCAGATAGATAAGGAAATAAATGCTAAAGCTGTACTAGTGTCTGAAATTTTCTTGCATTTCCACGATAGTTGGTGGCTGCAACATTTGAATGAATTCTCACTGGCCTTTTCTTTTTTCTTTCTTGACCATTAAATGCAAGAATCTAATATCTAATATAGTATTATATATAGCGGTATCAATTTGAATGCAATGTCGGTATACATCCCACAAGGAACAATGAAACTTATCCTATTCCATCAGGTGAGTTACAGGTAGAGGTAGAGGTAGAGATGATAGTCTAACATCAACGACGTGTACAGTTTGCATAAATAATTATACAGTGTAATTTTTAGAACATTTATGGATTAAAGTATTTAGAATATTATGAAATAAAATATGCAGAATGAAGTATATATAAAATAAGAAATGGAAAGTGAAACGGAATACGATAAGGAATGTGTCAGAGGAGGATACAATGCACTATAGAGAAGGTGGGAAGGTGCAGAGATAATGCATATGCTGATAGCAAGGTGCTTTAGTTTTATTCACTAATGGATAATAATTTTAAATCCTATCTCATAGCATGCATGGGTCCCTACTCGACTATACCACATGCCCCGAATTCGCTAGTCACTTCTCCACAGTTTTCTCACCTTTTTCATATTTTTTTTTTTTACCATACCTGTAGTATGAAATGTTTACAGTTTATTGATAATCATCTTTTGTTGTAGAATGTGATTTCTAATAAAATCTTTTCTTTCCATATGTTTTTTTTTCATGTACAAAATCCAAACCTAAAACTTTATTTAGAGAAGCCTAAACTTTTACTCATAAACTCCTCACTACCTAATGTAAATTTTTATCATATATGTCAAGTAAGAAAAAATTGGGACATTTGTGAGGCATGATCCTTGAGACACGAACAACCAAATTATTCGACCTTGCTGCGGGAGGCAACCTACTTCGGTTAACCTTATGGGCCCTTAATTTTCTTCTCTAGAAGACCTGTATGGCCCGAGTCATTAGTATGTGGGTAAGTCAAAGAGACGCAAGAAACATATAATAATATGAATAATACTATATATACAACAATTTATATAACATTATTTTTATGTTTATTTTTCTTTCTGTTTAATATTTCTCTCTTTTAATATTAAATAAAGTGATAGAAAAAATATTTTTTCATATAACTAAATTTATAATAAATAAATTTTATTTATTATAAAATAAATTACATTTTAATATGCGTAAAATAACAAATAATTAAAATAAAGAATTTTAAACATATGGGTTGCAATGTGTTTAAAGAATTTTTTGTGATAAATAATTTATATTGTAATGAATTTCTTTTACATATAAAGAATAAAATAATTTTAGATTTAATTTTATATCTCAATAGTACTCTTTGTAAAATAAAGAATAAATGTTTACTCTACATAACTATTATGTATGAATAAAAAAAGAGTTGTTCTCATTTAAAATTAGCATTTTGTATTGAGAGAAAGAAAATAGAAATTTAATTGAAAATAGTAATAATGACTGGTTGCATTGGATGCCAAATGAAGAATAGGGAAGTGAGTATGCATGCATGCATGCTGCAGGCTGTTTGCACCGTGTCGTGGGTCAGCAAGGTTAAATGTGAAATGGCCTAATATCTGAAAACTACTGGCCCATTAGAGTTAACCATATTTAAAAGACAAAAACAACACTGCGTCCGTATATATTTATATATGGGTCAAACTTTTGCTTTATATATCATACTCATTCGAACACTCTAGATCACCCATTAGATTTGCTTCTTATTATTCAAACATTTTACTCTGACATTCATTCTGATCGGAATAGGATTGAAAATTTATTAGGCCGTTGAGTCAATCAGTAAACACTCATTATAAAAATAAAATAAAAAATGAAGAAAGTATTCATTCATATTAATTATTTCCCCTTTTAGGATGGAAAAGAGAAATAGAAAATTCTGGAAACAATGGCAAGTACACGGAAAAATTAAGAGTCTTTATAATTCCATGCACGATCACAAAACCATGAAGATCAATACACCGCATATATATAATTAATCGATTTTCATAAATTTTTCATGCATGTATGAAGCAAAGAAAGAGTTGTCAAGTGAGCATTTGTTTAGAAGCTGCAGAAGGCGTGATTTGACACGGTTGGCAACTCTTGACAAAAGCAGAATAATTAACGTTGTTGGCGTTGGACACAGTGGTAGCAGGGAATCCGACAATGTTCAAGGGTCTACTCGCCCCTGCTTGTTCCAGCGTCTGCACTTGTTTCTTCAAGAACTTGACGTAGTGTATGGCTTCATCAAGCATGGAAGCCGTGTCCATTTTGGTACCACCAGGAACTAATCTCTGAAGGATCCTTATTCTCTCGCTAATCCTCTCTCTTCTGTGCCTCGCCGCCACGCTCTGCGGGTCCTTGGAAATCTTCACGTTCCGTCTCTTGGGTGGCTTGATGGATTCCGGGTCTATGTGAATAGGTTGCATAACCGCTACGCGGAAAATCATCTCCCTCATGGCCGCCACAGAGTTTTTCTTCTCCGAAAATGAAGGGTTGGGTTGAAGAGGAGGTGTCATGGGTTGTTGGAGAAGGAAGTTAGAGGAAGAGGGTGGCGTGTTGATGAAAGTGGGCGATGGAGTTATGACGTTTGGGTTAGAGAAGACGGGAAGAGTGGTGGTGGAGGTTAAGAAGTCGGTTTCTGGGTGGAGGAGAGTAGTACTAGTAGTGTTGTGGTTATAAAAAGGTTCACATAATTCAGGGAACTTTTGATCCATTTGCATGATCATCATCATGTCCATGCTGGTGTCACTGGTAGAAGTTTTGAGAATGTCCACGTCCATGAGCGTGAGACAAGGGGGAGTGGAAGAGAGAAAAGTTGGGAGCAGAGTATGGGAAGGGAGAGGAAGCTGAGGAGGGTTTGCACTTTGCACTTTGCAGTAGAGAGAGAATAATATATAAAGCAGTGCAGATTATTATCTGTGTAACCGACCAATGTAGCAGGAAATGGAAGGCCTTTTTATAGCAAGTTGAGAATGAGAGAAATGTTATTTAATTTTATCTATTTATGGAAGGAAATGTGGAAAAAATGTAATCTATGATGCATTGGAGAGCGCCCATGACGTGTGGGCCGGGGTGGATTCGCACCGTTGATGTGAAGGGTGGAAGATGGAAGCATTTAAGATCGGATGGTTGAGAATGAGAGAAGGAAAGGGACCACAACGGTAGGGTTGAATGGTGCAAGATGCATGAACCAGGTTAGGCTCAATTCCTTCTAATATGCCATGAAGTTTTAACTCACTTGATTTACCAGGTAGCCCCAGTGTCACATGACATTTGTCAGAGAGAAGGTAGCTTAATTACCTGATCCCTGGCAGAGATAAGAGCGTGGACCCGACTATATATGCTTAATGCATTGCGGAAAGAAAAAACGATCCAAAAAGAAAAGGGTGTCAACTGTGGAGTTATCAATTATCACCGCACTTTAAGCAAGTCCAGTGCAGAATTGAACGGTTATCGAGGTGTGTAGTAACTGCAGGCAGCAGCAACACCCTCCTCCTTCACTCTTCACCACTAAACCTCTCCCTCAACCTACCAGCAGTCTTCCACGCTAGTACCTGTTTATCTCTAAAGTGTAGCTTGTGTTAACGAATATCTAATAATAAACAAGGTATATGTTTGTAAATTATTGTGGCGTTTCACAACTTACACTTGTTTTTATATATGATGATTTTTTAAACAATATATAATTATGATTAATCAAATTTATTAAAATTAATCTAAATTTTTTGTTATAGTGTATTCAAGTGTAAGCATGAATATATAAGATGTATCTATTGTAATGTTTTTTTTTTTCTTTACCTAGAAATGAGAAGAGTAAATATTTACTATCTGTGACTCTTTTTTTTGGACAATTAGATACTCTTTCAAGGTATATATAATTAATCATGTATCTTTAAGACCTTTATATATATAGACTATACACTATAAGTATAACACTCATGTCTCCCTGAATCTACTGTGGTTAATTAAACACACTATTCAAACAATATTGTGTGCTTGATTTAAATTTTACAATTAAATATCCTATAACCGATAAAGAAGGGAGAAATTTGCTGAATAGGATGCTTATATACCCAACCACTGTTACTAAAGGTGGAGGCACCCGTAGCTTTAAAAAGATTCGCATATCTAATAATAATACTCTCTATGATCTATATAAACTATAATCTTAGCTTCTCTGTTGCAGGGACCCATTCTAAAGTGGGAGATATTGCCATGTTTGAAGCCAGGCAAATTTAGAAACTCAGAAAGAAGCGTGCAAAAATTAAGACTCTAGTGTTTTGTCACATATAAAAAGAAGAGCAGATAAGAAGATAAGCTGTTTAATTATGTTGCAGAAAAAGTGGTCCCTGTTACTGCTTCTTTTGTTTTTTATAGATTCATTCATCTTATTTGCATGTATTTTTTAATACAATGAAAATAACAAAAATAATTAATATTTTTTTTTTTATTTTTTTAACATATAGAGAGATACAAACAAAAGATGTAGAAGCTAATGAGATTATGTAAGGAATAGCATCCGCCCATCTATTTAAATAATTTAAAATTTAATATACATAATCATACGTTAAGATAATAGTTAAAACGCGACAATATTAAACATAATTTTCAGCAGAAGTGCGTAAAAGAGTGGCTTTTGTTTTCATGTGAGTGTTGTTTATATTTAAATATATCTGGTGGGAAATGAAAATGAAATGAAATCATGATATCGATGATCGGAGGCATTTTGTAATTGACAAATAGTAAACAGATAAGTGAGTGAGAGCGACTGATCTGAACAAAGAGATATCTATTCAAGTCCGCTGCTTGGAGCATATGCCCTCGATCAACTTATATACATTTACTGTTAAAGAATTAAGTACAGTTTTCGTGTTTTAAATATTATAATCGTCTAGTTTTGACTTGCAACTTCTAATAATGTAAATCAGATCTCTAAATATTGAAATGCTGTGATTATTTAGTAAATTTTACTGATTTATTTGAATGATGACATAACAAATATAACGAGTTACTTAATACGTTAATTATTCCCTAATTTCTAAACTACTGTAACTTCCTTTCACATTTTTATTAGTTTTCTCAAAAATACCATTTTTCAACAACACAGAACATATATATCAACATAGAAATCTTTCGAAAATTAGTTTCTCCCTTTTAAGAGGCTATGGAGTGAAAAGGCAGAAAAGATTTTAATACGAGAATGTGTGATTAGGTTGACTTGATTCGTATTGTAAAAAGAATTTAAAAAAATACAAAACAGAACAAATCGTTCATGATTGAATTTTAATATTAACAGTCTATTACTTTTAATCTTAATTCGATAATTATTATTATTTGTCTTCTTGATAATTTTTTTTCTCGTTTGATCATCTCCTATCATATGAGAGTGAACTTTTGATATAAAAACACATTAATACTTGGCTTATTTAAAAATATATATTTTATTATATATGTATTTGTTTTATAATTTCGATGTAGATATAGTTTTCTTTTATAATATTTTCTCATTCAACTACTATTTAATTATATTTTTTTAAAAGAAAAATGATTTTCTCCCTAATTAATTATTAAATGGAAAAAATAAGACTCAAATTGATGTATATCTAAAGTATACATAAATACAAATATATTTATAAAAATTAAAATGATATAATACATGTGTGAATATAAAATTATTAAAATATATATGTATCTTATATGTTTTTAAATATAAATACTAACATATTATATAAAATTATAAAACGCAATAATTTTAAAAAAGAATAATCTAAAATCACGGTTCAATCTAAAATTTAATCCTAACTGAATTTAAAAATTATGAAGGAGCATAGATCAATATGTTATATTGTAAAAAACTAGGTTTGGTTTTGAATAGTAAAATTATTAAATTACGAAATAAATAAAGTTTATATTCACCAAATAAAATTATTCTAATTAAATTATGAAATAAATAAAGTTTATATTAACTACATAAAATAAAAATAATGTTATATACGGATAAAATAAATATAGAATAACTTATAATCATTACGCAATGCATCTATTAAGACTACAATTAACAAATCATGTTATTGTTAGAATAAAGATCGTATCTAGAAAGAACGTTAAGAATTTGACTTGCATTCCTTACATGGTTGTTTCCATCTTAATCTATGCTATCATTATACACAAGACTCGAGGAAAATTACTAGCTAATGTTGAGTTATATATGCCTAAGTGACTGAGTCAATGTTATTCATGGTCACTTTCTTTTTTTGGAAATTGTATTTTTGTTTTTGTTGAAAGGGTTAATATTGACAAAGAGGGAAAAACATTAAACTAAAGTTTAGTATATGAGTCACGGCCCATAGCAGAATCTATTCGGCCTGCATTCTATGAGAGTTTTGGACCTTATGAAAGGAGGGCCATTTTCTAACCTGGTCCATGTAATTTTCAGGCTTAAAAATACAGGTCTGGTTCCATTCTTGTGTATTGTTTGTTGGGCCACTCTGTAGGAGTCTATGTCTCTCTGTTTAAGCCTCTAGTAGTCTGTGTCTGGTCGTTCTGTTGACCAAAAGAAGAATAACAAAAGGAATCGTTGCTGTCTGCCGCACCTTTTCACGCTGAATTTTTTACATTAACAATTTTTTTATTATCCAAATGCAAAAATAAAAGTTGAAGCTTTACAATAAAACAGATAGGGGGGTGTCACAATAAGCATTATTCTTTTTTGTGCTGAATAAAAGATAGAGAGGATTATGTACTAAAAAAATGGTAAGAAAGCTTATAAATTGAATCCTACACTCTAGTCTCCGACCCATGCTTACTCTCCGCATAAAGTTATATTTTGAATAACATTTGACCATGGAACATATTTAAACTCCACACTTTATACTTTATAGCATAACTAACAATATTAATATATTTTTCCCCCACGATTTATTGTGTTGGTTTTTTTAGGTTTGGTCATGGTAAGTTTTAAGGGTAGGAGTAGGACATTGGATTAGAATCCAGCGAGGGATATTGGGTGCGTGATTAGATTTAAAATGAGCGTTGATCCCATTTATTGAGGGAGAGATATTGTAGGATGCATTTGATTAGAAATTGATGTATAAAATTAAAAGCAGAGTGGTTCCCCACCGTGGGATGTGATGGAACGCAATCTATGGGAAGATGAATGAAGCAAAAGGAGGTGGGAGAGAATAATTGAAATAGGTGGGCATTGATGAGGCACAGCTGTAAACCAGCTTTGGCGCTAACATCATGTGACTCTCTGTCTCTTGTCCCCTCTTCACTCTTCACTCCTCATGGCTCACACACCCTAACGAGTATAACTCACCCTCACACTCATTCTCACTCTCACTCTCACTCTCACTCTCACTCTCACTCTCTTCTTCCAATGGCGTCTTCCCTCTCTCTTCTCACCCTCGCCCTCTTCTTCCTCTGCATTTCCCTCGGCGCCCGGGCGCACATGGAGGAGACAACCTTAAATCTCATGTCGGACGCCTTGGACTGGCCTACCACAATGTCGCTCTACGATGATGACGTGGACCAAGACACCGAAGAGGAGGACGTGGAAAACGGTTTCAGCCGGAGATCCTTGTTCTGGCGGAGAATGAAGTACTACATATCCTACGGTGCTCTCTCCGCTAACAGAATCCCCTGCCCCCCTCGCTCCGGCAGATCTTACTACACGCACAACTGCTACAAGGCCAGAGGCCCCGTTCACCCTTACTCCCGGGGATGCTCCGTCATCACGCGCTGCCGGAGATGATCGCCCACGCGCCTCAGATCCCCACTCGTAATTGCCGTTTACACTCTTGTACTGTCGTTTCCTTACGTTTTCTGGATTTTGAAGCGTCCTTCAGTGTGCTTGCGCAGATGGATCTCCTTCTCCTTTCTGTTGCCTCATATTTATTCCATTGTATAAACTCAAGAGTAATCATCACATTGCAACTGCATGCCCAAATGTGCTTTCTACACTCGTTGCAATTTATGTATGCTGTTTCATTTCTTTTTTCCCTTTATTATGGATCCTCATGTTTCTCTTACTATTACAAGTACAACTGAAAGGGGATGATACAGTATAATTCAAAACATAAAATCATAATTAATTTATGGAGTGGTGGAGAAGTAGAGATGAACAACATATTAAGAGTCCGTTAGAGAGGATGATTCAATTCTGTTCAACAGCAATCACGCTTTGTTCGGTAGTATCTGATGATTGCAGTTACTGGACAAGTATTTTAAATACTGTACCAGCAACTTTCTCAACATTTATCAATTCACCCAAATTGTTTGACACCACGACGAGTCCCCATAAATGCCACATCTACCCTCCTTATGGTATGTAGGTTTAAGAAATAAAAGGGGGATCGCACCTCCAATTATTCGGCGTTTGCACTGTGCAGTGCAGGTGCACTTTTCTTACGTACGATTATGATTTTGTAAATCTCAAATATTTTACAACATTGTCATATTGAAAGGTTTGAAATACTCTTTTTAACATATTCTTTATTATTTGTAAATATACTCTAAAAGGAACAATTCTTGCAATCTTACGTAGGATAAGAACCTCGTTAAATCAATGCCAAAGCTAGGCAATTGTTTGCTGGGATGATCTTGACCGTGCTTATTTTTATCTTATGCACCAGAAATAAGTAATAACATTAAGCTTTACATTACAATCAGCATGTATCAGCCACCAACAAACTTAGTCCCACGATTTCAGCCCATCAGCACAAGGCTTTGGATCACCGAACCCATCCCATAGCCACAATACCAAGCCTGTCCAATAAATTTGGTCCGTTTGTTTGGTTTTACTTTTCTTATTGATCTATGATTATGGGCCTAGCTCATTTTGGTTCTTCTTCGTTCCTTCAGAAATCTGATTCCTTTTTCTTTTCTTTCTGATGTTCGTCACTGGTCCCACTATTGTACAAAAAATATCAAATCTAGCTCAAAACAAAATGTTACAATAACAAATTCTTAGTTTAATCACATTCAATGTGTTTTTTTTATATTGATGAATACAATCAAACAAAGAAAATTACATGAAATATAAATCAATTTCACACACAATAAAATTTGAAGGACTCATCCATTTAACAAACATCAAATTAAATTTGGTTCTCCACTTGGCTAACCCATGAACAACATTGCTCTCCCTATGAATACTTTTGTAATATACTTGTCAATCATATTGTGGATACTTATGAAGGATAAAGATAACAGTTACACAATTCGACTTACAAAGAATCACATTCAATTTTAGTATTAGATTATTTAAAATCTAATAAAATTAATTTTTTAAGTTAGCATTGTTTAGCCTCATTTTTTATTATTACTCTCTTTATATCATACTAAGTGTAGAAAAAACAAATCTATTTAAATTTGTCAATATTATATTGATTACTTTTTTATTTATATTTCTAATATTATTCTTTTATAAAAAAAATTTAATTTATAAAATTAATATTCTGTTTAATCTATTTATTAATTCATGTAAAAAAAATTAAGACCAAAATTCTTATGAAAAGTTAAGAATATCTTTTATCTATCATTTTTCTTGTGAAATTAAATTATAAAATTCAATCTTTACAAATCATTAATTTTATGCTTATTTATTTATTTGTTTGTAATTGTTGTTAACAGTAAATTAACTAATAATTCCTTTGATTTGAGTGACGTAGTCATACATCTTTCAAAATAGAAAAAGTGTTACCACTTGAAACAAGTTCAAAAAATCAATGTGTTTCATCAATTATCACACGGAGTGATTAAAAAAAATGGGGTTAAAAATAAATTAAATTAACTAATATTTTTAATTAATGTAATATATATATATATTATTTTTATATTCAAGTTTATAGGAAGTATCATTTTAAAATTCTCTTTAATTTTAAAAATTTAGGTTACTCGCATACATGTAAGCGTATCAGTATTTCACAATGAACACTGAATTTAAGTACCAAAAAGTTGTAACATTCACAACTAATATCTTGAATTTTAACTAAAGTCAACAAAAGCAGGTATTGTTTAATGTACCTTAAATTTGAGTTAACTATAACAAATACCATAAAGTTGTGTTTGAAAATTTGAAACAGTTTGTCTATCTAAGAAAAGATGCATACATTAATTACAAGTTATGTAATGAATATGATATAAATTACTGATAGATTATTAAACCTACTATATCTGTTACATATTGCATGATATTCATTTTCTACAATAAATTTAAAAAAATGACATACCACCATACAAATAAGTTCAAATATTGATATTTTGAGACCTAATTTCATTTCTCTTCATCTTAATTCTTTTAGACATTGGTAGCACAGATTGAACCCAAATGAAAAAGACAAAGGGGATAAATGTCTATATTAAAAAATATATGTGATTTATATTTTAATATACTTTAACTTAAAATATAAATTTTCATGAAAACATCACAATAATCTCTTATTTATTTTTATAAATAGTATATAAACGTCTGAATTGAAAAATATAATTCAAGTTTTATTTTGCTTCAAAATATTTCTTTAGTATTCTTAGGTCAAACAAAAAATGGATATATTTTTCTTTATAATAACAAAATGAAAGTATAATAAGAAAACAAATGTACAAAGACTCACAATTCATATCACTCCTCTTTTCAGTGATACTTTATATCATTATTAAAAAAATGAAGAAAAAAAAAGGAATATATAGTTTTAAAACCTGACTAATTTTCCATATTATTAAATCATGTTTAAATGGCATGGAAAAAGGGGTGACGTGCCGAAGCCGAATTCAATGAACGTGTGCTAAACAAAATGAAGTGGGGTCCCAATAAGAATCCATCTAGCCCATAAAATTGGAATGATTTGAGATACTGCAGCCGAAAACTAAGTGAACCAAAATTGCTTTCGGCATCCTAAATTCCCATTGATTGACATTTGGTGCGTTGTCAATATTAACTGAACAATAGTACAATACCTTTACAACAAATGTTTAAGCCAAATAAATAACGAAATAAAATATTTGATGAATAATTTATTAAAAATATTCTACTGGAACATTGCCAACTGAATAGGTGTTTTCCTCGTTTGAGTTGCAGCACAATAATCGGTTGTCTATCACTTGAAGATGACAAATTACAAGTCAGAATTAGATTTTATGGCTGCTAACTTGGTCTATGCTAATAACATCCAACCAGGGCCAAGTGAAGAGCTTTCAGCCAAATTTAGGAATTGAGTGAAAATTATTGGTTTGAGAATGAAAAGAAAAGCAACAAGCAAGATTCAATAAACAATGGACTTTATAATATTTGTTATTTGTTGACCATTAAAATAATTTATGTATATATATATATATATATATATATGATAAATTTAAGTTTTTTAATTTACAATAAAAAGTTAATCATATTTAATTATATGTTATGTAGAAATTCATTAAAAATTATATCATAATAATTTCTTATATTACTACATTTAACGATCTAACTGCTCATAATGAAAAATATATATAAATAATTATAACTATCTATAATTAATATATGAACAATTCTCATATATACATGCAATAATATATACAGAAGTATAAGAATAAAATCTACTGAAATATCATTAATGTTTTTCAATTAAAACTACATCATGTTTTATACACACGCATGCACGTACATACACCCACACATATAATAATAATAATAATCCCACTTAAAATATGAACATCTTAATTGTCAACCAAACAATAACTACTAACAAAAAACTACAAAGTCATGGTAGCACAAACAATATCACGATCATCATAACTCTAACTAGAGCTCTTTCTCTAGTTATTTATGACTTATTCCTATACTAAGTATAATTATCACAATCTGACTATAATAAAATATGTAAGATAACCAAGTACTTGGAAAAATAATCATAAAACAAGTACAAAAATAAATGCATTAATACTACCAATATTATCATATAAATCACACAACAACAAAATTTATTTTTCAATTACTCAATAAGAGTTTTCTAAATTTTAAAGTTTCTCAATAGTAAACAACAAATCACCACAACATACATTTAAATAAAATTTACAATTATTAACAAAATGTAGAATATCACATATGCAGTCCTAAATTACTTAATAACTTTTACTTTATCTAGAGATGGGTATGATTTGAAAGGGAAAAGAGGGAATGTTTTGAAGGAAAAAAAAAATGAGTGAGAGAGAAAATGAGTGAAAAATGATTTAAAGAAAAATAGATTAAAAATAAAATAAAATTTATAGCTATTTAGTAGGTGAAATTAAGTAAAAATAGAGTAAAAAAATAAAATTTTTAAATTATATTTAATTTGACTAAATAATTATATGAAAATAAATTATTCAAACAATTATATATATATATATATATATATATGAGTAGTGTAATTTGTTATGCTAGAGAGAGTTTTAAAAAAAACATCATTATTAAGATTTTAAATATATTATTATATTTTATTTATTATTATTATTATTTTATATTTCATATTTTAAATTAATTATTTAATAAATAAATATAAGTAGCATATATTGTATATATATATAATATAATAATTATGTAATCAATTACATATATTTATATTAAATTATTTATTTAAAATATTTGTTTTATTAAAATAATAATTAATTAATTGTTTTGTTTAAAATAATATAAGTAGTCATATATAATTTTAAGTTATATATTTATATCTTTCCTAGACATTAAAATAGAAATAGAAAGAAATTTGCATTCACGTGATAGGGATTGACTATTAAGCGAAGGCAGGTTCTGGTCGCACACCGTCGGCTCCAAACTAAAAGTGATTCTCTGTATCTGACCTCACGTGTCACTCAGTCTTCTCTTCTTCAAATAATCAAATCCCAATTACGCAGTCTACGCATTTTCCATTCAAGTGTGAACATTGAACAACGACCTTTCTAACGCTGTTGCTAACCAATATTTTTCTACCTCAAACATGCACATGATTTCAAATTTCCATTTGAACTCAACTACTCAGACCATCCTGCAAATAATCATGACCCACTCTTCAATTAGTCGTGACTCGTGAGCAATGACCACATGTTTTTCATTTTTAAATACCACTATTGTTATAATTCTAAAAATATAACAATATGCAGAGTGACCAAGTTCTCTTCTAGATAAACTATAAACAGTGTGAGAAAATAGGAATATGAAAACAAATATAAACGATTCTTTTTCTAAGAAAAGTCATTACCACAAAAGTAAGGTTTTTAATCATCAAAGAAATAAGAATTAAGAAAGACCGAAATATAGCGAAGAAAGTCACTTTCAATAATTAAAAGAAAAGATACAAATAACATAAAGAGATTAAAAAAAATTGAATCATAATTATCCAAGGTAAGGGTTTTTAATTCCTCATCATTTATATATCTCATGTTCAAAATTCTTATGGTTAGTGTAATTTTTGCATTGGTAAATATTAAAAGGGTTTAATGATTATGTTATTTTTGTAAAAGATTTCATACTTCAACAAGTTAATTAAAAATTTATAGTTTGGTGTGTATTTTTAGAGTGATTAACTATTATTAAGTCATAAATTTATTATATGTAATTTATGATAGAATGAAAATTTATATATATATATAAAGAGTTATAATAACACCGGTGTAATTTTTATTGAGTATTATACCGCTCAATAATTTTATACTAAATATGAATTTTGTAAATGCAACCATTAAATTGAAAGTTCATAACACTTTATATGTTTATATCAAATTTTGTTAAAATTGAACAATAACTTGAAGGTAATCAAAGTATTTATATTTTAGTATATTTAAAATATATATATTACGTCAATTTTATTTTATAAAAATAAAGTATCAAATTATCTTGAATTAATATAAAATTTTGTATATACAATCCAGAAGTAAATAACTTTCAATCTAACAATTGGGTTTACAAAACTCATATTTAATATAAAGTTATTAAGTAGTGTAATACTTAATAAAAGTTACACATGTTATTATAATCCTCATATATATATATATAATATATATATATATATATACTTTTGCTCATATTACAAATTTATAACTATAAATTTTATACTTAATTACAATTTATTTTCTTAATTGGAAGTCAATTATTTCATCTATAATTATAAGGTGTTCCTATTCATTAGAGGAGGTAAAACGAGTTACGATCCATGAATCAGTTTGTTGGTTCATAAAAATTTAGCAAGTTATATTAGGTACTTTAATTCATTAATCTGTCTGTCTCGTTTTGTCTAACTCGTCAGTTTGTTGAGTCAACTGACATGCTTGAGGTTTCAACCCCTTTTATTTATTTATTTATTATTTTTAATATAAATTTAATTAAGTCACTTCAGATTTATTTTGTATATAATTTATGATTTATTATGTAACAAATTTATTGTGTATTTAATTTATTGTATTATATATAATTGGAGATTTTTTTTATATTATTTAGATACATTGATTTAAACAAGTCATTTAGATATTAAGAAAAAAAAACATGTTAAAAGAGTAATTCAAAATAAATATATAATATTTTTTTTTAAAGATCAGCAAATTGACTTATTAACTTGTCCTTAGACGCTAATCAAAGTTTACTACTCATTTTCTTCATGGACCAACTTGGCTCAACTCGTTTTTTGTTAGCCAATAATAAGTCAGACTTAAATATATCGAATTTGCCCATTTTATCACCTTACTTTTTACATGTTTTGTAATCTAGAGGCTTATTAGGGAAAAAAAAACTTCTCAACTACATTTTATGCAAAAACCAAGCATTAACTTCTTTAAAATGTGATTTTCTCTTTCATTAATTTCATTTTTTTTCTCATATTTTTTGTAAAATATATATGAAAAAAATTATGCAAACAGTTTCTAATTAATTAGTTGGATCTATTTATGTAAATTAATGTACATTTGTAAAAATAACGTGCTCAAGAATAATATTTCTCCGTAGAGTTCACATAAAACAAATTTTGAGATTTTTTTTTATACTTTAAATGAGAAAATTATGTTAGTTCTGTTGTCGACATACATAGTTTTTTTTTTTCTATCTCAAAAGATATTTCCCATTTATCACAAATACACAATGTAAAGTACAGTTCATGAGCATGCAGTGCCGAAAAGTGGGCATGTCTCGAAATGACTGCCTCCTGATTCCTACGTTCCTATTCCTATTTCGGTATTTCCTAATCAAATGAATGTGTTTTTCGTGCAGATTGCGGCACGCACAAAGCAAAACTTCTGTTTCTGTATGACTCACTATCTTTAAGAATAAAATAAACAAAAGGGGTTAAGTATGTTATTGTATTTTGAAAATTTTCAAATTCAATCTGAGTTCTTTAAATAAATTTATTCTATTTTTAAAGTATTATAGACCTTGGTTAAAAAATATTAAATATAAATATTTTGGTCCACACAACTTTTTTTTTAAAGATAAATAGATTATGTACTAATAGTGTAAAATTATTTTTATACATCATTTAATTACAAATTATTATATATATGATAAATTTGGCAATTTCTTCCAATAAATTACTAAAAGTCATATCAACTATTAGGTTGAGAGGTTTAGATCATTGGTACATAATCATTAAAAATACTTTCATGCCAAACAAAATAGAGAGTATAATTAATAAAATTCTTATTAAATAAATGTTTTTTAATATATAATTATCTAATATTTTAACTTGTACAATATATAAAATATATATTTTTTATTTAATAGTAAATAAATATTTTAAATACATAAATTATATTAAAATTTAAATTTATAATAAACATATTTTTATCATATAATGATATAAATTATATTTTAAAATTATGTTAAATGGCTTATATTTTAATTCAAGATTAATTTTAACTATTGATAATTTTTAAAATTATCAAAATATAATTTAAAATAACAAAAATGATATATTAAAATAGATAAAAGATTAAAAAATTTAAAAACACTCTCATTAAAAAATGATATCTTAAAATACTATCATTGAAGAGTGATCTCTACAAATACTTTATTCAAGAAAATTTTTGTTGTTTTTATATATTTGGAGAGATAGATATTCATGATAAGTAACAAAGTCTTGATAATTTTATATTTATTATGAATTTTAATTATAATATTCTCTAAAAATTTGAAATTTAATTTTAAAAAGAAATATGAAAAGGCTGAATCCAATAAAATAAAAGATTGAGATAAATTATCCGTCTTTAATTTAATCTTGAATTTTATTTACAAAAGAACGCGAAAGTATTCTCTTCATTTAAAAAAATATTAATAAGAAATATATGATCTTGAAAGGGAGGATTAAATGTCTAGGGATCCTGAATCAATCAATCAATATTCAATATACAATTACACATAAGTTGTTGTAAATGTACAATACAGTTGGTTATTCTGTTGCCATATGATATAATGGATATAAAAAATAGATATTTTTTATCATATAAAATATATTTTAAAATTGTGTTAAATGGTTTATATTTTAATATAAGATTACTTTTAATTATTGATCATTTTTAAAATTATTAAAATTAAATTTAAAATAACAAAAATGATATATTAAAATAGATAAGAAGTTAATTTTTTTTTAAAAAAAAACACTCTCATTAAAAAATAATATCTTAAAATATTATCATTGAAGAGTGATCTCTAAAAATACTTCATTCAAGAAAATTCTTGTTGTTTTTATATTTATGGAGAGATATATATTCATGATAAGTAATTTATATAGAGTATTGATCATTTATTATAAATTTTAATTATAATATTCTCTAGAAAAATAGAGATTTAATTTTAAAAAGAAAGATGGAAAGACTGAATCCAATAAAATAAGAGATTGAGATAAATTATCCGTCTTTAATTTAATCTTGAATTTTATTTACAAAAGAACGAGATCAAGTATTCTCTTCATTTTAAAAAATATACTATAAGAAATATATGATCTTGAAAGGAAGGATTAAATATGTAGGGATCAATCACTAGGGCTAGCTTAGTGGTTGAGTGGAGAAAGGTTGGAGTAGTAAGAAACATGAGGACCTAGGTTCAATCCTCATTGCAATCATCTATGTAATCTTTCCAATCTTTATAAAAAAAAAAGTGTAAGAATCCTCGATCAATATACAATACACAATTACATATAAGTTGCTGTAAATGTACAATTTCGTTGCAATATGATATAAAATATAATGGATATAAAAAAAATACAATATACAATCATATAAATAACTGTATATAAGTATATCTTATCCAATATTTGCAAAAGGCAGTCAAATTATTTACGTAGAGTTATTCAAAATTAATAAAATCTTAATTTCAAGAGTTTATAAAAAAATTTAAAGATTTTGTTTTAAATTAAAGATATGAATATAATATACTCGTATATATTTTATTTTTAACAGTGATAATTCATCTTTCCATTTATTAGTCTTCAAAAACAAGATGAGTTCAAACGTTGAAGGAGAGGCGTTTGAATTAAGAACAGATATTGAAAGAAGATAATATCTAGGGGTGATAAAAGGCAGCGCAGTCAATTGATAAGTTAGTTAGTGATAATATAATATAGATATACATCTATTTCCATAATAAAAAGGCAAGTATGAGTATGAGAATTGAGAAGCTTCGCAAGTGAAACAAGAAAAGAAACACGTTGAGGACAGGTGTAAGCGTATCCAGGGTAACGCGCCTTCGCGGAAAATATCCTTAATTATCACGTGCTTCCAAAATCGGTAAGCGCCAATTCCAGTGCTTGAATTATCCACACCGCACTTTTCATTCTTTATAAGAGACACCACTCTTCTCGTCTCATCCTTCTTCAACACAACCATGAATTGGATTCGCGGTGACTCGCTCGGAACTGGAAGCTTCGCCACCGTCAACAAGCTCGTACCCACACACACTTCCGCTCACTTTTTTCCTTCTCCCACCGCCGTCAAATCCTCCGACCTTCACACCGCCGCTTCCCTCAAGAACGAGAAGGAGATTCTCGATCGCATTCGCCACTCCCCTTACATCATCAAATGCTACGGCCACGATTCTACCATCGAAAACGGCCAGGAGTTTTACAACGTCTTTCTCGAACACGCCGCCGGCGGTTCCCTCGCCGATCAGCTCAAAAAACACGGCGGGACCCTCCCGGAGAGTTACGTTCGGCGCTGCACCAGGTCTGTCGTGGAAGCTCTCAGGCACATTCACGCCGAAGGTTTTGTTCACTGCGACGTGAAGCTGCAGAACATTCTCGTGTTCGACGATGACGAGGTTAAAGTCGCGGACTTTGGGCTGGCGAAGGAGAAGGGGAGAAAAGAGGGGAAGTGGGAGTGTCGTGGGACGCCGCTGTTCATGTCGCCGGAAGCGGTGAACGAGAACGAGTACGAGTCGGCGGCGGATATTTGGGCCTTGGGCTGCGCCGTGGTGGAGATGGTGACGGGAAAGCCCGCTTGGGAAGTTCGAAGCGGGGTGAATATTTGGGCTTTGTTGATACGGATTGGGGTTGGAGAGGAGTTGCCGAAGATTCCAGAAGAGTTGTCGGAAGAGGGGAAGGATTTTTTAAGGAAGTGTTTCGTTAAGGATCCTAATACGAGGTGGAGTGCTGAGATGCTTTTGGAACATCCTTTTATTAACGATCACTGTGTTTCTTTTAAGAAAGTCAATGGGTCGTTGCCGTCGCCGTCGCCGAGGACCCACTTTGATTTCCCTGACTGGGCTTCCACCGTGACGTCTTCGCTTCCTTCCTCCCCGGACTCCGGCGAGTGGTGTCAGGGGGAATTCAGTTTGTCGTGTTCGCCGGCGAGTCGTCTCCGGCGGTTGGGCACTGATGAATTGGTTCCGATGGGTTGGTCGGGATCGGATGACTGGATTGACGTAAGGTGAAGTTGATGAGATCGTACGGATGACATTCCATGACGTTTGTTGATTCTTGTCTTTAATTAGATGTGAATTATTAGGAATAGGATGACAGGAGGACTACTTGCCGCCACCCTTGGCCAAGTGTACAGAGATTCGTTTTGTTCATATTAAAATTTTGATCAGTTTATAAGGTTTTCAGTTTTATTTTGGGTATTTATATTCGAATGCCCTCTATTTTATATATCTTATCAACACTCATTCTTTTCTATGTCTCTCTTCTTATTATACGTATAGCTTTTTCTTTCAATGGGTGTCATTGGGTCAATAGTTTTTTTTTTATCTTCTCCCATATTTTCTTTAATTGGTTTTCCCTTGAAAAAATAACTTCCGTTCACTAGTCGGGTACTTTTACAAAGTAATACTTCTTATTCTAATTAATATTTTAACAAGTCTAATGTAAAAATGTTATAATTTGTCATGATTATAACATTTACAAAATATATCTATAATAATGAAACTATCTCATATTAAAGGATTTATACTCAAAATACATTATATACATACTATAATGTATATAAACATAAACAACTAAAAATAACTTTACAGAGCTATAACTTTCATAAAGATTACAACAACTAAAAAAAGTCATAATTTGAGTATTAAACCTTGTTTTTAGGTGATTTTAAAGTCATTAAAAAGATAACATTTCAATACTACAACTTTCATGAAAACGTCAACAATTAATTTGATTGAGGTAATCACCACTGTGACAATTTCATCATGTTTGTGAGAGATCTTGCTCTATTATTACTTATGTTTTTCAACTTAAGGTTACAAGGATCACAATCGTGAATGGTGAGTCACGCCCATGATCGACTCTATTATCACATTTACTATATTTTTCAACCTTAGACAATACCAATCACATGACCATCGAGTCATGCCCATGGCGATCCCTAAACATGGAATTATGAGCATAAAAACCCTCAACAACGTCTCCAAAGATTTTCAAACCACCCCAAACTCATATGTAAGCTCCAAAATCAAATCAAAACCATTAAACTCACATGCATCCCATCAATATGATTCTAAACGACATATACATGAAAATTAATTCAAATGCAACATACATGCCTTTAATAATGAAAGATCAATAACTTTGGATTTTTGGGTTCACCTTTCCTAGAAACCCAAATTCACAACATAGAATTTATGTAAATTCAAAAATCAACCAAAAAAATAAATTTTATTTTCAAATTACAAGTAAGTGAACAATTCCAAAAATTGTATACAAAAAAACTTTTTATTTTATCAAAACGATTAAGTGTTAAAAGTTGACATTTTTCTAAGGTGAACGCATGTTGAAGGATGAGTAAATAGTAGAAAGTTTACAAGTTTTGAAATATATATGAAGTACAAACCTGATTTTGCCTAGGATTTTGAGTCAACTTTATGCATAATGATTTGTTTATTTTTTATTTAAACACTTTTTATGAATTGACTTTACGTGTGATGATCGATTTATTTATAATTTACACATTTTTTTTTGTTGATTTTATGTGTGATGATTGATTTTATTATTCACTCACATTTTTTTGAGTTGACTTTATGTGTGATGGTCAATTTATTTTAGACTTACACGTCTTTTTAAAGTTAAGTTAATACATAATAATTGTTTTATTTTTGATGTATATGTCTTTTTTAAGTCAACTTCATATGTAAATTGTAATAGTTAATTTTGTTCCTAACTTGCACTTTTTTAAAGTCAACTTTATGCTTGATGATTAGTTTATTTATGACTTACATGTCTTTTTTGAATTATTATTTTTTGTTAATTGAGATTGTTTGTGCATGAACATGAAGTATTTCAAAAAATAGTAATTAATATCTTAATTTATTATATAACTAACTATTTAAGTATAACAATAAAGTGAAAATTATAAATTTAATTGAGTAGTATAAAAATTATAATTTTATTGTAACCAATGATTAACTATTTTTATAATTCAAATAAATTCACTGACATGATATTTATAACTAATTTAAATTGCAAAAAACAGGAAAAAAAAATCGATGCAAATTCTCGTTTGAAAAAATAATGACGGTTAAAATACATTTCATGGTAAAAATAACTAACATGTGATACAACGTATGATTATAATCATTTAAAAAGAACACAAATGGAAGTGGTGATGGATAAAGTTTTTCATTTATGTTAAAGTTAACGGTGCAGAGTTAACGGAAAGATCAAAACAATAAGAACGTATTTTTTTAGGACTAAAATTAGGTAACAATAAAAATATAAAAAAAACATAAAAACTAAAATATAAATAAGATCAATTCAAATACTAAAAACATATCTAATCATTAAAAATTATTAGCATAAGTAATTTGTTATTTATAATTTTTAATTATTGATCGATGTATGATTTTTAACTTAGATATAGAGTGACGAATAAATGTATTATTTTATTTCAATAAAGTCTAATATTATGGTAGGAGATATATCTCTTTATCAAATAAAAAACAATATATTTAACCTAAAAAGTTAATAATAAGTATTTTTTTAAGATCTAAAATTTAAGTTTTGTAGCTTATCCCCTTGCCGGGCCTAGATGAACAGGTTTGTTATTGGGCTTTGTTTAAAAAATTCAAGCGCAGTTGGATCAGGCATTCGCCCTTCCCATCCTTTACGAAATTCAGAAATTGCCTTTTTTCCCTCTTCTTGTTTTGCCCCTTCCAAATATAAAACTAATCAATGCCACTTGTGAAACAAAATCACATGTTATCGTTACTCTTTTATCCTTGTTTCCCAAATTGAAAAAAAAAAAAAAGTTTTTATAAATAATTAAAATTCACCAGATATGTAATTGTATTTTCTTGCTGCGAGTAGGATAACCCTATGCACATTTCAAATATAAATTAGGAGTCTTTTCGGTGGGTGCTTAACTTATTTGGCTCCACTATTATTATTTTCTTTTTATTTAATTTTTTTTCTTCGCCTCATTGTTTATTTTATTTTAGTTTCTTAAAGTTAAAAGATTATCCTTTAATCTCTTAAAGTCATCAATTTGGATTAACTCAATCCAACTGGATTATTCCATGTCAATGCATTTTCGAACTAAATTGAATTAGGATAATTTTATGATGGGTTGAAATACTTTAGCCTAGTCCGGTCTTTAGTGGGTTGGAGTAAGTTCTTCCATAAATCACTCATTTTTAAAATATAAAAATAAAAAGGCAAAATATTTTTCTTTATATAACAAGTTAATATTTTTTTAATCATTATTAACTAAAATAATAGGTTGTCCCCTGTAGTATAAATATTGTAATATATGACGTATAATAGTACAAATAAAGTAAAGTGTATCAATGAACAAGTATTAGAAGAAAAAACAAAATTTAATATGCATAGAATAATAATCTTAAAATGAAAATCAACAACATTGTAATATTAATTTGTATCATTTATAATTTTTTTATTATACATAAATATATTAAACTCACAAGTTGATAAATTATTTATTATAAATTTATATCACGACTCGACAGGTTACTACACATACTATTAAATAATTATTGTGTAGCGGGAGACTAAGCAACATTTATCAAAATAAGAGTTTATAATACAGTTAGTAACTAATATATTGTACATGAAAGTCATATACAAAATATAGTACTAAAAGTCAAACAAACCTAAATGTCGGTCGATATATATACAAAACTCGACCATATAGGAGTAGCCAACTTTCCTATTGAAGGGTTTCAACATGACTTTTAAAGCACTGCAACATATATTCACACAATGGGATGTTATGTTCAAAAACATTTTGAACTCTCTTATAGTTTTATGTATCATAGCTAAGACATGTATCTAACCCACATATTAATAGCTCGTCAGCTTAACAACTTTATTGACTTTCAACATTCAACTTATTAGTTTTAACAACATATAACATATACAATGTTCAACTTTCAACTTTACAACATATTAACTTAACAACATAAACATCGAACATCTTTTCAACTTTTACAACTTTGACTGTATAACATCAGATATCAACTAAAGACAACATAAAACAACAACTCACCACTTCACAACATGTTCAACTTACTACATCATCATAAATCAGTTGCCAAACAACTTGAACAATCAACATTACATCATATAACTCATTCATCACCAATCAATTATAAAACAACATTAAATAACTACTTTATATTATACAACTTGTGCTCTGTGCCACTCACTAGGCACCCGACATCACTAAAGTAGGGGGTTCCTTATCTCACACCACACCCGACGTCTCACCATTTGCGCCCAACGTGGTTGAGGTAAAGAGTGTCCCTCAGTCTCGCGCCTAATGTGGAAACATCCACACCCGACTCTAATCAAGCACAAAACTTTCTACCTGACTCACACTCGGTGCCACTCCACCAGCGATCAACATGAACCCAGACAAAGACCAACTTCTCATCTCACATTCGACGTTGCTTAACCCACGCCCGACATAATTCTAACTCGAGAAAAGTCTCTCTCCTCACACTCGACACCACCAATCATAGCCCAACGTGAGTGAGACAAAGACCTCTCTTTGAAACTTCGCCCAGTGCCTTAAAGGGGCATTCGACACAATATTAGTTTCTAAACCTATACATAAATTGATTTCAACCCAAAACACTTGAAAATTAGCTGTCCATGAACATGCATTGCAACATTTAACATTTATACATCATATACAACTAAATTTTATCATAAAAAACAACTTGCAACAAGCATCCAAACAAGAATCAACTTAATTTATTATACTTTTCTTGAAAACTATGAAACCCTCTAAACTCCATCTTTTAATTCACTCAACACCCTCAACCAACTCATCCAATCATCATAGCCACATGATGCACACCCAAAAATTTGAAATTAGTCTCCTTTACCTCTCGGAGAAAATCCACAAAGAAAAGAAGGAGAAGAAGAATGAGCAACTTCGCACGGTTCCAATGTGAATCCTCCACTTCCACAAGCTTAGATTCCAGCCCTCCTCTAGATTTTAGCTACAAGAAGTAAGTAAAGGAAGGTTTCTCTGAAGGAATGAGAAGATGGAGAGGATTTGAGTTCTATGACTTCTCTCTAAGGTTATAAAAAAATATATGTATTATGAGCTTCCTTTTTGAAAAATTTCCTTTTTATATTTATTTGAGTTGATTCCACCTATCTCTAGTCTAATCTCTAGAGATCAACATGTTATCGGGGCCTCTAAATCTCATAGCTCTCAATAACAACTTGTCAAGTCAAAAAATAAGATTATG